TTAACACCGTGAGCTGTGTATCGAGAACGACCTTTCTTACCAGAGCTACTACCGAAACCATGAAGACTGTTATTATACTCAGGTCCATTGAATGGTGTGATACCTCTTCTTCTTCTAACTATACCACTACCAGCTACTGCTTTTTGCGTGCTGCCGGTGATAGCACCTGATATAGCTGCTAGGCCCAGAGATGGTAAGAGTTTAGTGACCGTAGGTTTGAGCTTTCCAAAAAGATTTCCAATAAAGCTACCACCTTCTATACGTCTTGACCCAGGAAGATAAACACCAGTGCCTTTAAATTCCTGAGTGATTACTCACTCCATGGCGGGTCTGGGAGCTTTAACAATTATTGCGTTATCAATGTCCGACATTTTGTGCACTTGGAAAACAATTTGCGTATATATAAACAATCGAAAAAATTTTTTTAATCTTAAATATCACATATCAGTCTAAACAACTATGTTCATTTTACCGTTTATTCCATCAAGTTGAATAAATCGTTCGCTAAGCACCAAGCAGAACATGTTATACGCATTGCTGCCACCAGCATTCATCGCGCTACGAAAAGCTTGGTTCAAGTTCCATCGAATTGTAATGTTTGCCTCTTTTTTCCTCAAAACATCAGCATGATGAACAACATCGAAATGGTAAATATAAAACAGGCTTACAAAGTCTCTTAAGCTCACTTGAGAGCCTGTATCTGGATCGCTGTTCTTCATCGCAGCGTCTTGAAACATCATGTAGGCTCTGCTGTAATTGCTGTTAGCAGCTGTGTAATTAACATCAAGCGGTTTATAAGTATACTTTTGACTTTTATTGATCTCAACATAAATTTGACTTACATTAGCATGGTCAGACATAAATAGTTTGTTCTTGATTGTTAAAGCGTTAAGCGTCTTGGAAAGCCACAAAGATGTGAGTTGGTAGCTCTTCACTACTGTTTGTTGTTACAAATCACGATCCAATGGTATAATTAGGGCCGCTTCGTTTTTGGTAAATACGACTTTTCTCGAAATACAGCATGCGTGTGTATCCAGCGACCAACTTGCTTTCTTTCATAGTCTGCACTTCGATTGAAGGCCTGATGAAAGGAACCCAAAGCGAAAGATGATTTATCTTAAATTTTCCAGCAGCAACCCCATCTGCTCTATGTAGTGTGTTTTCAGAAGAGTCGCGAGTAAGGTTCAAAGTAAACTTTAAACCTAAGAAAGCCGAGTCAATGTCTTTAACGAAGCCCAAGATGTCGGAGAGGGAAAGCATCATGGTGACGTCTTTAGCACCGGCGCAAAGCTGACGGCGAGCAGCAAACCCAATGTTGAAGTTAGGGTTTTCTGTTGCGTTAAGATCTAATTTAAAGTGATGCCGAAAGAGGGCGCCAGTTACACCAGTAACATTAGGCACACCAGCAACTGGAAGCAACTGAGCGTTGGTCCTTTTCACAAACTTATTAGGATCAGGTGCACCAGTCCCAGTGTCACGGTACCAGAAAGCGCTTGTAGCAGCGTTGAAGTCACAAGCTGCATGTTAGTGTTGGCAATTGGAGCAAAATGATTTAGATCTTCAACAGACTTGTTGTTGACTAGGAGCTGAACCGTTTGAAACAGGCTCCGGCCACCATTTGCTAGAGCGACGTTGTCGTCGTTATAATCAGCCCCAGCGTTTGTTACTACATGACCCCTATCCTCAAGGACGGCTTTGTGAAACTACAAAAGCATGTCCTTCTCTTCGGTGTTTATATTAACATGTTTTTTGTCGTAATCTTGATCGCGGGGAGCAATTTCCGCGTACTGAAGACGCTCAATAGAGCGTATGACAACAGGCTCGTCAAAGAGTCGAAGTACAGGAGATATGATGTCCGTACTCATTGCTTTAGTTTTGTACTTCGCACAGTATGTATATATATATATATCTCAAAAAATTTTTTTCTTTTATTATATCTTAAATATTCAATTCATCAGACATTTTAAGCGTAGATCATGCCATTACCAGAACTTAAGTTGCTTAGAATACCTAAGTCTCAAGAAGTAAGTTGTTGTCTAGTAAGACTTTCAGCGCGCTTTTCAAGCTTCGGAATTCCCAACCAGTGCATTGAGTTTAGATCTAGCTTCTTTCGTTAAGGCGCTGCGAGCACTTTTTGCGCGCGTTTTTGCGCTACTAATACCAGCTTCAGCCACAGCACGAGCCACTGCAGATGCACGTGATTTAGCTTTTCTTGCCACTGCTTTAACATCTCCGCGGGAGAAGTCGGCAACAAGACTGCTTACGTTTTCAGGCGAGAACTGCTCTTTTGCAGTCAATGTAACAGCCTCTTTGGCTGCTGTAGCTGTGTCACGAATTGCCTTTTTACCAGCCGCCACAGCCACATTCTTGATTTTTGGAGCAAACCTACCTACGCAAGATGCTAAGGCTGCAGCTGCGGACTTCCCCGCACTAAATAGCGCACTATTTGCCTTACCAGCAAGGCCCACGAGGTTTCCAATTAATGACCCCCCGACGAATTTCCGATGAACTATACCACGTCTACTTGCTTGAATTATCATTATTAAGTATTATATATATACATATAAAAAATGAGCCTTTATAGTAATAAAAGGCTTTAAATTTAATCCGCTTTTGAGCGTGTATAATTACATTTTCGGGCGAAGGTTTAAAGTGTAAGTAGCTTGCTCACCATTCAAATCGATTTTATTTCCCGATTGATCAGTAATTTCCATTCGCACCCGAGTAAGAAGGCTATTTTTTACAACTGGTAAGTAGGTCGGTGGGCTAGGACTTATTTCCAACAAACGTCCTGGTCCTCTGTTTGGAGTAAACGATTTAATAACATCACTAGGATTCCCGTTTACTATACTTAAATTAATAAGCGAGCAGTGAATATGGAGTTTCTGTATATCTGTTATGTTAATTCGATTCTGATTTAAAAGTTTTACTCTAGTAATAGAAAACCCCAGAATAGGGCCTAAGCTGTTATCTACATTAAAGGACACTACAAGGTCACCCTTAACAGTAATCGCAGATTTAGATGTAGGAATATTGGAATCACTGAAAGCACAAAGGGTGGATCAGGTCTTGCGATCTCATCTTCATGTGCAAATTTTACCCCCAATGATTCCATAGCATCTTCAATAGCTTAATTGATATCGGGAATGCTGTAAGCGCCTGGAAGTATTGCAATCGTTTGCCGTTGAATTAAATTTTGTCTGAGCTCTCCTGTGCATGGATCACTATTATAGTTTCCTCTTCTAATCTCAAACTCTAGTTAATTGTTTTTCGTAGTGACATTTTTCCACGAATTCCACAAACTAGCCCCGGTAAGAGCCACTTGGTATTTTTTGTTATTATTTAAAAAATTTGGTGGATCAAGGATAATCTCAAAATGATTTTCTTTTCCACCATTCGAAGAAATGGCTCTTTTTGAGTCTAACTCAATAGTAACTTCATCTTCTAATCCTTCAGCAGCCATTACTACTTATATTGACAATGAACAATAGCTAAACTAATAGTATTTATTTCTAATTTTTCGGTAATAACTTTTCGATTTCGCACTTTTGTCTAGCAGTTTAGTTAGAATCGCTTCTACATCGTTCTTCAACTCACGAGAGTAATTACCAGCCTCTACGGACTAGCAGAAAAAGTGAACTCGGTCAATAAGCTTTGATGGGCTATTATAACAGTGCACTCCAGTTCCTGTTCGTGTAGCTTTAAAGAGTCGTTTGGGGTGACATCTTCTTTTTTCTTTTAGAACATTGCAACGTTCGAGGTTTTTTTTTACCTAACTCTCGGTTAGCTGGAGAAGAGGTTTTTCTTGTAGACGGGCCTATAGATTTTCCAAGATTTTCAAAATCTACGTCGTTTATATATTCACCAACCTCCAACCGATCAAGCAAATTTGAATTTTCTATAATCTTCCAAGATGGTGTGTCTTTTGTTAACAGGACTAGATCATCTAGCCGTTAAGCAAGGTGCTGGTGAGTGTTCTCAACCCCTTGAGTGACTTCTTGCAACCCTTCAATATCTTCGTCTTGTTTTTTGTTAATAGCCTCTGCTACAGATTTTTCAGCATTAACAATTAGTTCAGACACCCTTTCAAAGAGTTCTCCTTCGTGCTGTCGAGACACTTTGAAATCGACTTGGCGCAGCTTGAGTTCCGCGCGGTTTTTTACAAACATTTGGACTAATTTTTCGCGCTCTTCCATAGATGCAACTGACCTGAACATACATGAACTTCAATCTCAAGAGAGATGAAGATAGATATTTTTTTATCTTAGTATATAATAGGACAAAAAATGGACTGAAATACAGTTGCTTCTAGCATCTATTGATTAACAATATTAAAATAATAAACCACGTTTTACCCTGCCAGCGCCTGTTATTAATACAGAGGAATCGGATGAAGAGTCACGTGATACAGAAAAAACGTCTATAGAACCTCGCGAGAAGTCAAGTGACTATCATTTTTTTAAGGTAAAAAAGTATATGTATAAAATCTGCTCTAAGTACAAAATTCCACTCAACGTAATTCAATTGAACCAGGTAATTAGTATGGCGGCTGATATGTCTTGGTCTACTGGAGTGCCTTTAAACTACCCCTCTTTCATAGCAAAGTTTGCTCCGATTTGTCAAAAATACGACGCCTCGGGTTGGCTTGCTGAAACCGTCGAAGCTATAATACAGGCGGCTACTCCTCTTCTTCCAAAATATAAAAGAGCTAACAAGAATAGGTTTAATGATGCCTTCAAAGAATGGGTTACCTCTTTGGGACTACCAGAATTCCGTCAAAACGCTTCCGATAGCGAATAGGAGCCTCCTCTGCAGTACGATCGAGTACAAAGTAGTCGTACTTATTTTCAGTGGCTTCATGTTAAGCCGCCGCTAGCTGCTCTTTTGTAATATCATCAGCGTGGTCAGCTGAGATTTCTCTCACGTCGCGCTGGTCAAGACCTCTCATAAGCACAATACAGCCGATATTTCGTCGAATATACTTGGGGACGTCATAGTACCTTTGCGCTAAGTATATGGCTGTGACATTATTATGTCGACTTGCTGCGAAATACTCTTTGATTGGGTTTAAGCTTTTTGAATCGAGCCGAATGTTATCAAAAACTACTGTCTCGGGATAAGTGTCCAACTCCTCTACTGGAATCACATCAGCAGGCTCTCTTAATTCAACACATTGCTCTCACTCTATCTGGTGTGGGCGCCCCGGCTGAGGCCGCTCTTGAAGCTCTTGCTGTCGCTGGCGGGGTGATCTCAGGTGTTGTGCTTGTTGTTCGTAAAAAGCTCGAGAAAAAGGCTAAAAAGCACGACCGCATAGCCCAATTTGCTGCCACGATTCTTATGACTGTTGGTAGTATTACGTCATGTGCTCTCATTCTCAGCCAAGTCTCACATGAAGAGTTTGAACAGGTTCTAGATTAAATGCGGCGGCTTAACGAGCGTAAACGCGTTATTCAAGATGAACTCGACGCTCCAATGCGTAAGAGCTTGGAGCGTGAAAAAGAAAAAGCTGTTGCCGCCGCCGCTGAAAGCGCACGCCGTGAAGGTGAAGCTCAAGCTTTTAAAAAAAATCGCGGGTCTGGCTGGAGGCTCGTCACAGATTTCTCTCGCGGTCAAATATAAATCCAGTAAATATAAAAGATATGGAAAAACAGGACCACCAGGGCCTAAAGGCCCAAGAGGAACTAAGGGAGATAAAGGTGAAAACAGGAGCTGCGGGGGCTCTAGGAGATACGGGTCCTAGAGGACCAAAAAAAGAAGAAGGAGTGAAAGGTGATGAGGGTTCTAGAGGAGCTAAGGGAGATACTGGAGCCACAGCGCCTCAGTGCCCTAAGGAGATACTGGAGTGGCAGGGCCTCAGGGGCTTCAAGTTCAACAAGGCATTAGAGGTCTAACAGGCCTTAGAGGTCCTCAAGTGCCTTAAGAAGATACTGCAGACACAGGGCCTCAGGGCACTAAAGGCGATACTGGAGCCACAGGGCCTCAAGGGCCTAAAGGCGATACTGGAGCCACGGGGCCTCAGGGCCCTAAAGGAGATACTGGAGCTACAGGCCTCAGGGCCCTCAGGACGTCAAGGACCTCAAGGACAACCAGGAGCTGATGGGCTTAAAGAAGACCAAGGAGATCAACATGTTTTTAACTCTCCTAATGGATTTTAACCCCCATGTATGAGGGGAATAATTATAACTTTAGTAACGTTTCCTACAGGAAAAACACTCGAAAATAATGAAATAGCATTATTAAGCATTTGGTTTGAACGGTCTTAAAACGAGTGGTTCAACATTAGATTTTCTGTGTTTGAAGAAAGTTGGGGGCCTTATGTTAATTTCGTACATGATACCACTAACAAATCAATGGCATATGTTAGTACAATACCCCCTAACTGGACGCGAACATATGAGCTATACTATTTAGACTATTCTTAATAGACTAACAAAATTTTTTTTGTAATATATAGAATTACAATGTCTAACGCGGTTGAAACTCCGGTTCATGAATTTGAATCAACAAACGATCTCTTTCGCCGAGCAGTAGAAGTATACTTACGACAAAATAGAGAGGAAATTTTTGAAAAATTCCAACTAAAATATAATTCTAGTTCTGAAAAAATAGACATATCTTCTTGGAACTATTCAGACGTAGATAAACCTACGCGTGAGCCTCTCGAGGCTTTGCTACGTCCGGCAAAAAAACACCGCGCCCGTCGTGTAAAACATCATTGAAGACGTGAAAAATATAAAAAACGACTAGAAATTTTAGTAGATGTGTACACTCAAGTTGGTACTTCAGTCACTGGAAAAAAAGGTTCAGATTGGAACATTGTCACGATGTGTGAAAAAGATGAAGACGATTCTTCTACAATCACAATCGAAACCACTGGATTCTACCGAATATCAATAAGTGGGAAATGTTTTACAAGTGCAGGGCGCAACGAGTACTTCAATCTCCTAGCAAATTACTTGTCATAAGTAGAACAAAAACACATCGTATTGTTGATATTAACTCTGAATGTAGCTATAGCAATTTTATAGATTTAGACTTACCTGCTGATGCAACATTAGTTGTTCAACAGATGAGAACTGCTAAAATAATTATCACATTCACTATAGAAAGTATAATACCCGAATCTTCAACGGGTTTTTGATGAAGATTTGCTACACAAAGCGCTAGACGAGTGCGAAAGCTTTCCTTCATTATGTAGAGCTGAATAAGAACACTTCACGTTTGGCAAAGGTGTGAAACAGCCGTCGGAGGCGTCGGAGTTTCAGTTTTGTAAGGAATTGCACTTAGAAACTGAAGTGCGTTATAGCGTATTAACGCTGGGTCGCTCATATTTCCATACGCAGCTTTCCAACCTACAGATTTTGTTATAACAGGCGGTCTAATTTCTATTACGTCTTTAGGCTTAATAGGTCTGCGCTTACATGGCGCCGAAGGAGGTTCAGGTGGAGCTGTATTAGTACGCTTTCTTGATGTAGATGCTAGTGGTTGAAAAGTTTCAAGAAATGAGTTTAGAGCTCTTCCACTTATAACACCCTGTTTATGTAGTAGCAGAATTTCTCTAACAGTGTCCATCTCGATTATATATACTATATAAATATTCTTCTTCTAATTGTATCGTACCTGTCTGTATTAGCAGCCGGGCTTATAATTTTAGATGTTCTTCTCTTTGTTTTATTATTATATTATTCAATTCTTTCTCTCTTTCTTTTCTTTATTTTTGCTGTTGTTTTTTCATATGTACTCTTTTGGATTCACTATTCATCTTACAACGTACCCTACTATACGCTTCTTCTAAATAATAATCACATCAGAACTAATAGACCCCGACGGCCGGCCGCGCGGGAGCGGGGTTTGGGCCGACCGTCTTGGGCTCCTGCCTTTGTCCTGGGTTTGACATTTACTGTAATTATACTAGCATGCGTACGCGAACTACGGTTGGAGCGCTTAGATTTGCGTCTAATAGGTATCAAACTGTGAGGTGGGTCAGAAACGACGCTTGTACAAGTTGTGGTGGGCCAGAAACGACGCTTTCTCAAGTTGAGGTGGGCCAGAAACGACGCTCTGTATACTACTGCTGTAATCATCGACGTCACAATCTAAAAAAAAGTATAAAGGCTTAGGCCTCTTACTTAATTTATAGCGTGGGGTGCAAAATTTATAACATCTGTTGTGTATTATTTAAGCCACACAACGCTTTCAGCCGAATTATGGGAAGTAATAGGTATGTGGCAAATAACGATCTTGACGATAAGGACAAGGCTCTTACATTGAAGTAAATATATGTAATATTTATATTATCATTCAGTAGAGTTATGCAGTTATAAATATTTTTTATGAATGATGCAATTACAAGCTAGATCATAATTTGTTATATGTTAATATAGACAAAGGTGTTCAATTCATAAGGTTTAACAGTTAAGCAAGGAGTCCGTAAAATAGAATTACTTGATTGTTAGCAATCTATATCAAATGATCACTTGACCTGCTGAATTGCTTTTCTTATTTCTGTACATAGTTTCGGCAACCATATTAATTGTAGTGTTTGATAGTTCATTTTATAGGAGTGATTTTGCTTGCTTAACTCTCCTGTCTTTAGTTTGTCCATATGTTAAATTTTAATTTGATTAATATTTCAATAAACTTAGCATTTTCGAATTTTTCGAGGCAAATTGTAATAATCCAGCTCATATTAACCTACTTTTATCGAAAACTTGGATGTTTGTAAGTAACAAAGTATAATTGTAAATGTATTAAGGTTGGCCACAATAAGCGGTATTTGGTTTTGCTATTTACCATTAAAGTATAGTTTATGCTTTCGTTTTTGTTTTTTTTTATTAAATATAAATGATAAGTTTTTTAGTTAATCTGTTGTAGCAAAAGAGTTGTTGTTTAAATCTTTCCAATGCAATATACTTCACTAATAAAGTAGGTTCTATTTTACATATATTTAGAATATATTCATGTTAATTATTAGTGAACTAACTATTACTTATCAATTATTATGTAGCATTCAACCTTATATATAATGACCTTGCACGCTGGACAGCTGATATAAAAAAGTGGGTGGGAAATACTCCTGTTACTGTTTTATTTGTAAAATGAGTAACTTTCATTTTAACCTAAAGTATTTACCAGCCTCAGTTGTCATTTAGAAATGAGAAAAGTATCTTAAAAAATGATTTAAAAACAGGAACATTAATAGAAATAAAATACAGAATTTATTACATTTCACTAAATCCACTCAAAAATCACATAAAGCTCTTTATAGTACTCTATTTTATTTAATACTGCATGAACTATCACTACATTTTGAGTATATGGAGAGCAATGAGTATGTGGTAATGGTAAGTGTTATAATTTCATGGAATAGTGTAAGAAACCACATTTCATTCTTACAAAACGCCTTTTTGTTTTGAAAAAGGTATTCATTCAAAGGTATTCATGGACTATCCATATCGGCTTACAGTACATTTTATTTGTAAATGGAAGTAGTGAATAACAAGTTAGTTCTAGTGTGTATTAGTCCAATATGTTGTTACATATATTCAAATAAGTCACTAAGGTCTGCAAGAACTCCAACTTTCGAAACTTCCAAAAATTTATGATTTTCAGTGCCAATGTGAAAAAATACAATACCAGCATGCTTAAAAAAAAGGCTAAATAGACTTGCGACGTTTATTGAAACAAATCAAATTAAAGTAAATAATGATGCATTGTGAAAGCAATATTTTTAAATTGATGTTATATTTGAAATGTTTAAATTAAGTTGTTTTTGTGGTTAAAATATTGTTTAAGAAACGATGAATTTTGTCACACATATGTCTCAGTTAAATACTCTTGCATCATGCAATATGACGCACAAGATATAAAAACATTAAATGTACAATACATCATTAAAAGTATTTAAACGCTTTCTTAATTCTACGTTTCTCCTGGTTTAACAAGATTTTTTAGTTAAAACGTATATTCTCGGGAGTGCCTGTCACATGTTGATTTTCCAGACATAAACATCGCTAGTTTCCGTTTCGTATGTGAAACAAAGTGTTTCAATAATAGAAACACGGATAAATATTTCTTTCACATATAATTCTTTTAACAGGTAGGATATTTTTATTCGACTATGGCGAAGAGTTTTCAAAGATTTTCTCCCTAAATCATGAAAAAAAACTACTACAATTCTTTTGTAATTTTGAATATTATTGTCTGATGCTGACGTTGAATCTACCATATATATTATTATATTAAATTGAAAAACATTGGCTTGTGTGTAATAGTTTGAGCTATGTTATACGGTTTGTATAATGATCAACTAGTTATAAATAATTTTATTTGCGCAAAAACCTGTAACAGAGCATTCACCGGATGTTGTTACATTTGGAAAAAAAGAAAGTGATGGACTCAATCGAGCAAGTCGGAATAAAAGTTATCGTATTTTCACTGAGCCTGGGAAAAAAGCTCATAAATCATGCTACCGTAACTACTGCAAGCCCCAGAATGTTCAACGTGTTGTTAAAAAAGATGAAGACAACAACACAAGCCCTAAACGATCGCTTCCTCGATGTGCTAAAAACTCATTTTCATTCAAAAAAAGACCGTTTCTATTGTGCTACAGAAGTTGTTACTTAATTAAAAAAAAAAGAAAAAAATCCAAAAGACGTGCATAGAGTGACAACAGTCGAGACAAAAGGTATGGTATTGGATGTATGTTGAAACATAGGTGACAACTGGGCACAGGCAGTGCGAGCTAGGTTGTTATAGGTAAATGAATTTCCAGCCGCAGACACAGTGTATCACCATAGTTGCAGTTCTATATTTTGAACTGAGAAACAGACACCATTTGCCTATTGCTATGATAAAAACGCTAGAAAAAAAGAAAACAGTTGAACGGCCCCAAGTACACAAGTACACATAAATATGACGCGTTTTTTGCTACCGTAAAATACCTTGAAGAAATGATGAAAAATTACGGCTTACTATTTCAGATCCACAGGCTAAGATGGTTGACTATCTCTCTGATGTCGAAACTCCATATGGCCATACCTACTTTAAAGAAAAGTAGGTTGAGCACTTTGGCAAAGAACTAATTATAGCTAATATTCAGCTCAATGTCGGTATCCTTAAAAGAACAGCAGACTCTATTTTTGAAGAGTATCACATATCCCAAGTAAGAAATACGAGTCAGGAAGACAAAAAACAGTAATACTCCAAACAATAAGCAGTGCTTATTAAAAAAGATATTAAGAAAGTCGTTACGTCAGGAATTTTATACCCGCACATCAAAGAAGATGCAAAAAGCACTTTGAATTTTTAACAGATTCACTTAAGACTTCCAGACACATGT